AAAGGCCTTCGTCTGGTCACCCATTGGTCACCACTTTGTCACCAATTAGTTCCGCAAACTGTCATTCAATTCAATTGACAACTGATTGTCAGTTATTTGGTATTGATTTTGAAGAGTGTCTGCAAAACAGCTTTCAATACGATATCGATTGCAAAGAGTGGAGACATCTCTCGACTTACTCTCCATAAAGGCTTTCAAATCAAAAGTTTTATCAAGTTTTTGAACAATCTTTGAATCAATTATAAGATAATTTAATAAATATAATAATAAAACTACTAATCATTCAGTGTTTTTAAATTTATTTTCTCTTCAATTCAGTAGTTTATGGTCTAATAATTGCTTTAAATCCGAGACAATATCGTTGCCATCGATTTGTGATAATTGGTGTTCAGATAAATCCAATTTATTCCTCTTAAGCAACGCATTCCAACCAAAACTCTTTGAACTCAAATAATCCAAATCAAAGTCATCGCCGATGTGGAGGGCGAGGGAGGGGTCGACCAGTTGTGCGCCATTTAACGCCAATTCAAAGATCTCTTTGGATGGCTTACAAAAGCCCACATTTCTGGACGACAACACAAAATCAAAGTAATGTCTTAAACCTATCTCTCGAAGAATTTGTTCCAGTCTTTCATCGTTATTAGAAATGACACCAATCTTTAGATTTGTATCCCTTTTCTTGAGTTCACTCAACACATGATGACTGTCGGGATCTGTTGCCCAGCAATTGGATGTTGAATACAAGCGATACAAATGCTTTGCTATCAGATCTAACTTATTGTCAGAGATCTCATCGGTGGTAAAGTTGGCCAAACGGATAGTCTGCTTAACAACTTGTGTCCACCACTCAACCGAAGACATACCAGTCTTGTGACCAAAGTTGCTGTGGTTTGTATCCATCTGTTTGTAGACACGTCTGAAGGCTTTCGACAAATCATTATCGCATTGAGTGGCACTTGAATGCGATTTCAATGCATTTTCATTGCAATAGATTTGTATGACTTTCATGTAATGAAAACCAATTGAGTTCTTCACTCGCATCAGAGTATTGGTCACATCAAAGGTGATGAGTCTTAAGCCACACATCATCGCTATATCCACACAATTATAAGTATTACTACTTTTAGACAACACTTTTGTATAAGTATTTTAAGGCCTATTATAGTATTTAAATATTATAAGTATAAGTATTGTAGTATTGTATGAGTAAATGAAGTGAAAGTATGACAAAAACAATGCATCAAATGTATTACAGTATTGACACAAAACATGTGTTTTTTGTTGACATGAAAAGCATAACAAAATTCTTATGCAATCATCAATACATGAGTAGTATTTTGTTACAGCATTCATACCTCATAGCCATTGAATCTGTTGTTTAATTCAGTTATCATTCAATTAATTATGGTTTTCATGTGTCAAACCGATAGTTATCTCAAACAGGTATTCATTTATTAAATGTTTAACTAGTTTTACAAAACATGACTATATTTTAGTTCAAAACAAATGTCAAAACATGTAAATCAAGTGAATTGAAGTCAAAAGGAAACAAATTGAATGGATTTGAAGTGACTCTCGAAGACACGATTCTGTTCCCAGAGGGCGGCGGACAGGTATGTCACCCATTGGTCACAATTGATACAATAGTATCCGATTATTATATTATTGTTTATTTCTGTTTATTCAAAGCCTTCAGACTTTGGGACAATTGATGGCAAACAAGTAGTGGATGTGCGACGTGATGGCGATATTGCCGTTCATTTTGTGGTAAGTGATGGCCCTCTGGAAGTGGGCCGTCAGGTGGATGTGGAGGTCGATTGGAAGCGACGTTTCGATCACATGCAGCAACACTCCGGACAACATCTGATTACAGCCATCGCTGAACAGACATTCGCTTTGAAAACCACTTCTTGGAGTCTCGGCGAAGAGATATCGTCCATAGAATTGGATGCGAAAGAAGTGTCTGAAGAGAGCGTTAGACGATTGGAAAGCCTCGTGAATGAGAAGATCAGGGAATCGGTTCCCGTTTCCATCACTTTATTTGATAGAAATGATGAGAGACTGAAAGAGGTGTCAACGAGACTATTGATACCCGAAGACCAAAGCGGACCAATCCGTGTCGTGTCCTTAGAAGGCATCGACAGAAACACTTGTTGTGGAACTCATGTCTCGAATTTGAGTCATTTGCAGGTCTTTTCATTTCACAATCTATTGTTTGCTTAACTCTTTCGAAGGAAACCAAACTTTTATTAAATCTGAAAATATTTCGCTTTCAGTCCATAAAACTTCTTTCGGCAGAAAAGGGAAAGAAAAACAAAACAAATTTGTATTTTTTGAGCGGAAATCGAGTTCTTTTTTATTTGGATAAGTGTTACAAAAGGGAGAAAGCGCTCAACACTTCATTGAAGTATGATTTACTAAACAATTAATAAGTGTTTTAATTTTATTCTCATTATCTCTTTACAGATGCACTTCTGATGACTTCATGCCGATGACCGAGAAAATGAAAAAATCTCTTAAAATATCACAAAAGGTTTGATTGTTTTGTTTGACTTGTTGTAGACTATGACTCAAATGATTTTCAAATTACAAATCTTAACAAACTTACGTTACTCTCTAAACCGCTTTAACCTCCGTTTCTTCAAGAATCTGTACGGAAGTTTCGGATTTATACACAGTTAAGTAGCATTCCTTTCACTGCCGCTAAAGTAATGTTAGATCTTGAATGAAGTGAAACAAGAAATCAGTGACACTTTGGTTGTGTTGTCAGTGACCGACGATAGCACTGATCTCAACAGCTCTGGACAGTTAGCTTTGGCCGGCAATCAGGAACTCATCCAACAATTCATTCCAAAGTATATAAATTTATTTAATTAGTATTTAGACTTATGTAAAAATTAATTTCCTACTCAATTATCTTATTTTTAACAGAGTTTGTGAACTAATGTCAGTAAAGGGTGTACTAAAGGATGGAAAATATTCGGCAAAAGTGGCAAATTTGTCGAAAAGAGCAAAATTAGATGATTTGCTTAAATGTGAATTTGATAAATGATACCAATTAAGAGCTCATTATTATAAATAAAGTGATTTAAATGACAATTTAATTAAAAGTTATCCAAAATTTCAAAATGTATTGAATTCAATGTGTATTGCATTGAAGTGCATGTAATGTATGGATGGATTGAATGCAATGATGTGTTGGTCCCTCTTATATCCCTTTCCTTTTCCTCTCCAAACGTGTCTCACATTTGTTGCCAAAGACTGATTGTCTTTAGATCTAACCATCCCTTCAATTAACCGCTAATTTTTTGGCAAAACTGATGGCCACCGAAGAGTGGACAGAAAGCACGGCTGTGGCCCAAGTGGGCGAACCCGTGGAGATCAAGCTGTTTGGCCGCTGGAGTTCAAGTGATGTTCAGGTGTCGGACATCTCTCTCACTGTAAGTCTTGATTGTCTGCCATTCACGCGATATCTTCGGTGCCAATCATGTACTGAATGTCCACTTAATGTGTGTTTACATCCGTTGCTTAGGATTACATCGCAGTGAAGGAGAAGTACGCGCGATATCTGCCGCACAGTGCGGGCCGGTATGCGTCGAAGCGGTTCCGTAAGGCTCAGTGTCCTATCGTTGAGCGCCTGACCAACTCAATGCAAATGCATGGACGCAATAACGGCAAGAAACTGCTGGCCGTCCGGATCGTGAAACACGCCTTCGAGATCATCCATTTGCTAACCAATGAGAATCCGCTGCAGATATTGGTCAACGCCATCATCAATAGCGGTCCGCGTGAGGACTCGACTCGTATTGGACGCGCGGGAACTGTACGTCGACAGGCCGTGGATGTGTCTCCCCTGAGACGCGTGAATCTGGCCATTTGGTTGCTCTGCACCGGCGCTCGAGAGGCCGCCTTCAGAAACATCAAGACTATCGCCGAGTGTTTGGCCGACGAACTGATTAACGCCGCGAAGGTTTGATTGATTTGTTGGTCTTTTGTGATTACTTTATGATTAACCGGTGATTATCTCATACTCTTAGGGCTCGTCCAACAGTTATGCCATCAAAAAGAAGGACGAATTGGAAAGAGTGGCCAAATCTAACCGATAAATCAAATGCATTGAAATGTGTATTAATTATAAATTTCAATAAATATTGTTTTGGAGATATGTCTCGAATGTATATTTTAATGATTTTTAGTTTTGATAACTTTTAATATCTATAGTTTGTTTGTCACATACGGTAAAAGCAAGTGTTCAATGTCTGTGTCTGTTTTATTCATCCCTAATGTGAACCCTTTCAATATGTGATTAACTTCTCTGTACAACATTCAATATATCCGTGTCCTACAGAATAAGTTAATTACCGGTAAATATTAATATCAAGATTTACAATGAAATTAAATAAATCATGAAACGGGAGTCAACCAGTGAATCAAGCATTGAAAAGTTTTCATTGAAACAGTCGTTTCCAACCCCTATAGTGTGGACGTAATAAGTGAACCCCTCNAGATTGTAATGAAATCGCCGTCACTTTCCTTACGATGAATTGACACATATTTAGGCTTTGAAGGCATGTCTAAGAACTTCTTTGCCTCCAATTTCGCCAAATCTCTCATTGCATTCAAACAATTCTAATGTAATTTGAAAATCATTTGAGTCATAGTCTACAACAAGTCAAACAAAACTTTTTATCAAACCTTTTGTGATATTTTAAGAGATTTTTTCATTTTCTCAGTCATTGGCATGAAGTCATCAGAAGTGCATCTGTAAAGGGATAATGAGAATAAAATTAAAACACTTATTAATTGTTGAGTAAATCATACTTCAATGAAGTGTTGAGCGCTTTCTCCCTTTTGTAACACTTATCCAAATAAGAAAGAACTCGATTTCCGCACAAAAAATACAAATTTGTTTTGTTTTTCTTTCCCTTTTCTGCCGAAAGAAGTTTTATGGACTGAAAGCCAAATATTTTAAGATTTAATAAAAGTTTGGTTTCCTTCGAAAGAGTTAAGAAAACAATTGATTGCGAAATGAAAAGACCTGTAAATGACTCAAATTTGAGACATGAGTTCCACAACAAGTGTTTCTGTCGATGCCTTCTAAGGACACGACACGGATTGGTCCGCTTTGGTCTTCGGGTATCAATAGTCTCGTTGACACCTCTTTCAGTCTCTCATCATTTCTAT